TCCATCTGTCCATGCACTCCTGCCCCCTGAACTGTCTCCCTGTGCACAAACAGCCCCTCTTTCTCCCATGATCGCTTTCCCCAAGGACTGTATCCACCTCAGGTACATGCTCAACTCCTAGCCTGTCCTTTATTTGGCTGGAAGCCACAGGCATGGGCTCAATTCCAGACCTGAAGGGCAGCTAAGGAACACAGTCTCAGTGGTTCCACAAGGCTCCATCAGTAGACAGCCATATATTTGTAAATGCAGAATCAACTTTAGAAGGATCCCCAAGCAACTGACACTCGTGGTTACCTCTGGGAAAGAGAACTGGCTGGCTGAGGAGCAGTGCTGGGAGAGATTTAAGTTGTCCCTTTTGTAGTTTTCGAATGTCTACTGTGGGCCTATATTACTTATTCAAAATTCACCAAGTATTCCAGAGTTTAGAAATAAAAGTTTTAAACCACCAAAGAGTGAGAAAAACTTACAGAGAACTTTGTTATCAGATCAGTATTTTATATAACCCTATTATGATCAGTGACTTTTTGTAACTTTGGGAAAGCCAGAAAGTTTTTAAAGCAAAAGACTAAACATTTCAGTTTATAAAAACCTATCTCCTTTTAGATTAGTCCTTTTAATGGATATGCAATTTTTAAAAATCACAATTTAGCATTATGCATTTAAAATCAGTATTTGAATAATCTATTAAACACGCTTCATGTTTCTGCTATATCTCAGCATAACATCAAGGAGACAACATGTTTTTTACAAAACTGAAGTAATCTTGAGCTGAACGTAAGTGAAGATACAGTGCGATTCTCACGTAGTTCTTAGGACTTTGAGCTTTAAAAAGTAGAGATGCCTCCCATGCTAACAGAAACGTGATGCAGTACCTTCAAATAAATGACGGCATCAGTGCCCACTCCTTCCATGGAATAGAGTTTTAGATCTCCTTGAAAGTATCTAGCATACAGACGAGAGATTGGCAAACCGTAACCAAATCCAGCCTATTGAAAAAAGAAAATTAATACAGTAAGACAGATGCAAATACTAACATGTTGGGCATAGGGCTATTCAGAGAAGACTAAAATTAATTCTCGATTGAGATTTAAATCAAATAAATTACTGATGCTACCTTTACAATGACAGATATGCTAATCTATGGCAAACAACCCCTTTGCTTCACTCCTCATATGTTCGGAACATAGTAAGAATAGTCCAAATTTTGACTTCTATTTTTTATCAAGTAGGATTTAACCTGGTACCACAACGAAATCACATCATTTCCAAGCTGCACAGAGTGCCTTGTTCTTTGAAGTGAAAATTAAAATCAGCAGCACAGGAGTTCAAATCTACCAGCAATAAGGTTAAAATGTTGACAAGAAAGCTATTTTCCTAAGAAGTTACTTCTAGGGTCCTGGGATTCTACACTAATATTTTGATCTACTGTAGTCCATATAGTCTAGACACAAGAAAAACATTCCAGTGCCCTCCATATCTCTATATCACAGAACCTTCACTGTCAATAACACTTTAAAAAAAAAAAAAAAACCCTCAGCTATTGAGGAAAAACAACTGTCAATTTTTTTGGAGAAAATATGTGTTACTGCCAACCTTCCAAGGTTGGTGACCTGTTATGAAACGCATGAACAAGGTTTGGGAACAAGGGCAGTAGTCTGAACCAGGCCAATGCCTACATGGAGGTGTAGTTGCATGGGCCTTGGACTCCGATCGACCTAAGTTCAAATGCATTTTCTTTCTTTTTTTTTTAAATTGTGATTTGGGTGAAGATTTACAGAGCAAATCCACTTTCTATACAGCAGTTCACATATACTTTGTCTCATG